AGACATTGTGCTTTAATATTATGTTCTTTGACTAATATATCATTACTTTTTAAAAAATTACAATGAAAATTTTTTTCCAAAAAAATTATCCTATCAAATTTGTCTATTTCTAGTCATGTGTGTCGAAATAACCAATGAAACCATCATTACACTGATAACTACCCATGGATAGTTTTCACGGGTAGTTATCACTTATGTCATGACATTGCTAAGCAACCAACACAATAAAGTTGTTTGACATTTCAGTAATTCAATTTATTTCGAAAATGTCACTTCCTCGCTTTGGTGTTCAAAATGATGCGGCAATTGACAAAATCATTGAAGAAAATACACCAAAAAATACTGTCAATAGTAAAAAATATGCAGTAACCGAGGCAAATACAGCAAGATCAACGGAATATCATTATACGAATTGTTCTTTTAATAACTGTGTGTTCAATAAATAATTTTGTTCGAATTGCAAAAAAATTTCTCACCGAATATCCCTCGAACATTGATAAATAACTCATAATTTTATCACAACTTCCTCAAGCACGTTATTTTAGGTAACATCCCTCCGCCTTCGGCGTCGGGATGTTACCAAATAACGTGCTTTCGAAAACTGTGATAAAATTATTTCGTTAGTTATCAATGTCCTTGGGATATTATAGCTGAAAATTACCGTATTCTCCAAATATCACCAACATTCGTTTTTTGGTATGTTCAGTCATTACTGGTATAGTAATTTTTATATACTTTCTTGAATATTTAATATTTATTAGTTTAGACTTGTTACCATTAATTACAATTCTTAACATATAAGTGAAGATTAACGCTTATTGATTTGTGGTTACTACATTTGATGTCGATGACTACAAGGAATCAATCACTTTTTTGGATATCTTCATAATATTGAAATATATACAGAATTCAAGCTTTTCGGTTGAAAAAAAAATGGAAAGCATCAGCACAATATTGAACATCAGTAAATTTATTGAAGTTTCATTATCGAATAATAACTTTTCATCATTTTATGTGTATCTAAACTTTTCCTTAGAAGCAACTATATTTCCATAACATCACATGTCTATTGTATTTGATTATAGTCAAACCTTTCGAGGTTCTATCTATATCATAAAATAAAAGATTGAAAAGATGAAGTATGTTCATTTTTGAATGACTCAAATACGAATGTGTTAAAAAATATATAGCAACAAATTCTTCTCCATGCTCTAGATGAAACAAAATTCAAGCTTGGATTAATTTTTTTTGTGTTAACTTTTTTATCTTGTAAAAGGGCACACATTTTTCTCTTCAATAGAGTTATGATCCACTGAAGTGATGAAATATTAAATATGCCTCAACATTATTATAGAATGAGAAACAGCAGACATGGTCATTTTATTGAGAATGAAGTGAGCTGACCACTTCAAATGTAGGAGAATATACAAAGACACCAGATATAAAAAACAGTAATCAATAGTGTTTCCCAGTTTGTTGTCCATCTCTGAATAAAAATATTTGTGAATTGAACACCCCTCTTTCAATGCCCTTCATTACCATACTATACAGTTGCTGCTGAAAATAAAAGTTAGTACTCCAATGACAAATGTCCTTATAACAAATGAATATTCAATTAAGTTTTTGTCCTATTCATGAAGAACATTGAGTTCCAATGAAGTGATGACCCAAGTACAAGCCTCAGTGTACATAAAGTATGCATAATTTGTAGCTGGAAGCAAAAAAATTCAAAAAGGAAAATCTGAAACACACTAACATAATCTATAATTTAATATTTGTTCAAATCTCAGGATTATTCAATGCTCTCAGTTTTTTTGCAATAACCATACCTAAATCCTGAGAAGGATTCTTTCCTGGACTCATTGCCAACCTTCTTCTCAGTCTAGGGTTAATCTCACACCTCTGTTTGTGAACAGTTGGTTCGGGAGTTTTTTCTCTGGGAGGTGCCAATATTCTGCTTCTGTTGTATTCAACAGGTGACCAAGTCAGGGGTTTTTTCCTCAGACCTCTCTGAACGATAATCATTTCATCTGGACTAGTGGATTTGTTCGGAGTTCCTTCTGTCGAAGCTCTCAGAGATTCGTTTATTTCTGTGAGAGCTAACCTCAAGGATCGTCGAGGTGAGTGTTGTTCCTCTAAAACTATGAAGTCGTCCATTAGTGTAGAGGGGTGCAAAAGCCGTTACAACCCCTGGAATACGTTAAGAATATATATGAAACGATTCACTTTTCCATTTTTCTGATGTTTACAAAATAATAGTTTCAAATCCATTCATTCACAAGTCGAAGACAAACACAAGTTGTACTACTAGTACAACATGTAATTTCGTCAATTCCCGCTAAAAAAACTAGAGTTACAGCATAATCCTCGTCATCCCCTCCGAAACAAACTCTGTTTGTGGTAACTGCGACCTCTTTCGTCAAAATCACCGTATTATTAAGGACAAAGATGAAAAGAAACCATGGTGTTTTAACCGATTCGCTTTTATTTTGTCATGACTCTCGACACAAGAAATGAGATTGACTTTGTATACACGATAGATGGTGTCGAAGTCTGCCTCGCGTATTTTGTTGAAATCTTCAATTTATGGACCATAGTGTAAAAAAAAATATCAATTCATCTCAAAACATTGAAAATTGAAATGACAACTTGAATATTGTCAAGCTGCGTCACATGAATAGTACTCAGCTCTGTGAATGAAATACTGTGATACAGATCTCTTTACTATTTCTTTATCAAGAGTGTCGTAGATCGAGAGTTTTTGACCAAATATTTGATATGGGAAAGGGATTCGAGTGATTACACCAGATATATTCTATGCATCTTTCAAATAACTAGCCTGTACGTTTACTCTTCTGTAACTTTGTTACAGAATATCTTAAGCAGAGACTCTCATCTGAGAACACTATGTTGAGGGGTCAAGATTCTATGATCCCATTCTGTTGTTGGAAGTTGCAATAATCACCTTGAGGTTGTCATCAGTTCATGGTTTCTGTTAAGTGCTGAGTGTCTCTTCTGTAAGGTATTCTATGACTCTGTGGCCAAAATCTTACACTAAACAACTATTGCTACCAATGGGACACAAAATTTGTACTCATTTATAACCCCAGAGGCCTAATTATCAAAAAACTTTCTTTCCACAGAAACTGAAATCATATTCTCAATGACCAATAAACCCTGAAATCAGTGTTGTTACAACCCTTTGTAAGGTGACCGAAAAAAAATATTAGACGGAATATAAGAGTACTAAAAAAGCGAATCCGTTAATAATTAACATACATATTATCAATATGGTGTGTGTATATATAAATTATTTTCCTGCAATGATTAGAGTTTTCATTTAATTTTAAGTTGGACATCAAAGACAAAATGACGAAAAATCGTAGGTAACTAAAAGTGATTTTATTGTTTCAAATGTACTGAATCTAGTACTGAAATACTGAAACGGCAACACTGCAGAGAATGTCAAGCTCAAATTACGTTTTTTTAACATCACCCGAAGTGATAGTGTAGTAAATTACTTTTTGTGTAAATTTGGTTTTTAAGATACTGAAAAACGACGGGTTTTCAATTATATCTAGCCTACTATTTTCCCTACCTTGACTATGGCTATAAATATGGCAGCTTGTAGGACTAGATATTCAAAGGGATCAAAGTGGTTCAGAAATGTCATTCAGTTGAGGCATTGTTTCTATCCGATGACGTAGTTTTTGAAAAGTGCCTAACACTGATGTTAATTTTTGTGTTATATTTAATAAAGTTAAGTCAGTGGTGTCGCATCTGTTTGTCAATCGCTGAGTCGCCATCATCATCTAGTAGTATGCCGTCAACGTTTGGTTAACAATTTAGCAAACTTTTACTCCAGAACATTCTGGGATTTTCTAATATATTTCAGGAGGGAATATTCTGCTTCCAAAAGCATCCTGTATTCTTACTAGTGCAACAGGAGTACTGGGTCAAAATAACTGACACCTGGTTTCACGCCATGTTCTGTGTTTTTGCTTCTCATAAGGATCATTTTCATGACGTTTCGACAAAGTGTCATTTGCCATCTTCTGGTGATGTCTGGATTTTGATTTTGAACCTAGTCTAGGTCCAGATTTTTTTTAGATATGGAGATATATTCTGAAGAGCCCCACTATGTGAAATAGAGTTTTCAAAAATAGGTGTTTTTTTTATTGAAAATGAACACACTAGCGTAAATTCTGTGATTTCAACAATTTTGTTTTTCTTTGGACCAACTTGTTCTGATTAAAGTGAGACATGTCTACTTTGGTACAGTCAGCAATATCAGACCAGTGTTGACATCATCAAATAATTGATGTGGCCCTAAGAAACCTCAAATAGTGAAATAACATTTTTCTAATCACTTTTTTTTGGATTTGTATAACTTCCCACCAGCACCCGTTATAGTTATCAAATAAAACCTGCATCACAGAAAAATTACTTTAAATTTCTCCTGATATTCTTGCTTTAGGAGGAATGTCATACAGAACATAGATCATACATTACATTTTTGAAATACTCTCAGAAGCGGATATAAAATTTTTCCCAATGAACTTTACCATAAAACTTGCAACAAGTTACCATTTATTGTTTTATGCATCAAAAGAACTTGTTTTTGTTTGGGGAAAACATTTCAACCTGCCCCTTGCTTTTCGTATCGCTATCAGATTTGGCTCAGTAAAAGTCTCTAGCAAGAATTGTGATTTGTTCAAGTGTACTACTCAAGTATGGTTCGGATGACGCTAACTTTGTTGGTGAAATATGCATTGAGAAGAGTGTTGATAAATATTTTGGATAAAAGCTTTTTTTTGTGAACATGAGTTTTCACAAAAGTTCTTTAGCTCTGGAAAAATGTGTATATAAACTTGAACCTAGTACAAGTAAGTTTCAGTGCATTTATAAATTGTAAAGAGTTGCTTTTCAACCTTGCACTTGGAAAACTATGTCCAAATCTAGATACCTTATATTACTAAATATTCATTGTTTCAAATGGATATATTTTTAGGAACTTAATATATTTCTCTTAGATACTTTAAAAGGTACAACATAAAATTAAACTTATCCACTATTACAGATCAAATAATTCCTCTTCTTCACCTCCCATAGCTTTCCAGAAAGCTGTTACCATGTGCTCCGCACACTGTTTTCTCTGACTCATTGGCATACTTTGTAGACTATCCTTCATCATGTGTAGTTGGGAAAACAATTCTGTGAAATCATCGACATCATCATCAGGTAGAAAGTTTTCCTTATTTAGTACATCGTTGGAAGTTCTGGATTCTTTATTACTACCTATATTTTCATTTGATTTATCTCTCACCTTCATTACTAAATTTGACCAAGTGTGGGAGTGCAACGCTTCCACTACACGATCCACACCAAATTTTTCTTTAATAAGGTCCTCTTCAGATTCATCGTTCTGATTGTTTGTTGGAAAGAGCTCAATGAATTCAAAACCCCTCTTCAAGCACCATTCCAGGGCATCACTTTTTGTAACTTTGGTATCATTATTGCAATAATTTGACACAAGTAATTTAACTTCCAAGTTGCAGTCATGTTCAAATACATCCCATTTGCTCAAATCTTCTAGCCCCCTTGATTTGTTAGAATCCATTAGGATAATAATTGCCTCGATATTATTATTAAATCTCTCGGATCTTGGAAAATCATTTTCTAATCCTATAAGCTTAATATTTGCTGTATAATATTTTGTGTCTATTGACCATAAATGTTCAATTAAACCAGGTGTTTCATTGTCTTCTGTTATTTCCGATGATTTTGTTATCAATTTTATTAAAGACTTTGGTTTCGTGTTGCTGCAACTAACTATAATTACTCCGGGAGTATTACTCATTTTGAAGCAAGTACCCGAATTCTAAAAAATAAATTTGTTTCAAAATAGGTTAGAATCACATAAAGTAATGTTCCATGATGGTAACATTTTTTTTAATCAATGTGAGTAGAGTGTAATAGATTTTCAATGTATCGAAGGACCAACCCCAGAAATCTATTACTTTTTGCCGAAAATCTTGTTACATTTCGTGGCCAATTTTTACATTAAATCGACAATATTTTATTTTTTTCAAAAACATTTATTTTCTGAGTTGGCTATTATAGTTATTTGTCATTAGCGTCAATTATCAACTCAATTATTCCATTCAAATAGCACGACCTTTCGATCGTGGTGAATTGGCGCACTACCAGTAGCTCAACATAATTTATTTATTTATTTCGGGTCAAAAGCGTCAATATGAAAGTATAATACAAAAGAGAAACAAAGATGGAGATAAAGATGAAAAATTATGATGTGTATAAAAAACAATTCATTAAAAACCACAATTGCAGAAAACGGTTGATTGAATTTTTTCAGGCGATAAATCTGCAAGAGGTCCTCCATTATGCATGATTTTGGACATTTGTATGTGTGCAGTTGTACTTTTTATTTACATTCGGAAAGAGTCGTAGGATCCGTTATAACGGAAGGAGCCTCCCCAAAAAATGTAGAATTAGTGTAAAATCAGTCCAACTCATCTGGGGCGTCCGTTGGAAACTTTCAACTACAAAAGAGTCACAATGCGAGATCCGGATTTAAACTTCGAATAGACTCCAGCCAAGAATAATGGATATATTACAATAGTAATACCACAGTTAATCACGTGGGGACTGGCGTTATCTGGCGGACAAAAGAATTGTCTCTTCCTTTAGTTCCTTTTTTTCACATAAAGGGTGAAAACCCTTCAATAGTCAAAATTCAACGATTGTTTTTCAGGAGGTAGAAATTTAAAAGTAATTTTTTTATTTCAATTATGATATTCATCTCACAAAACTCATAAGTATAGCCTTGAGATATAATTATGCGTTCTGTGCTTAAATTTATAGAAAGGCTCTAACGTTTCGAATTAACCAATGGCACAGAAGATGAATCCATGGTATAAATCGGTTGTTGATCGGTGAATTTGAGAACCCGTCTTTTTATATCAATTTGATACTGTTTTGTTTTTGTTATAGAGTTTTCATTTCACAATTAGGACGTGAAAAATGCAGTGAGACAAAAATGGTAAAAAAATAAAATTTCTCTTGAATTTATGTAGTACATAAAGACTTTTAGGGAAAGCACAAGAGAAAACACAAAAACAAGAAACATCATGACTCCAGTTCTGAGGGAGAATGGGTGGAGAAGAAAATCAGGAAGGATTCCACTTCAGATGATGAGAGTACTATTAGAAAAAAGAGCAAGTTGAAATATTCTCACAGATCGAGTTCAGAAGAAAAATCAAGTACACCTGATGAGATGATTTCCAAAGAAGAGAGATCACATAAAAGGTGCCATAAAAGTAAATCAAAGCGTGATAGATCAAGTTCAAAGGATTCATACTCTTCAGCATCCAGTAGAGACGAGGTAACTATGAAAAGAAAACATAAATTTACTTCAGAGAAAAAAAATTTCTCTAGACCTTCAAGAAATTCGTGTACCACATTGTCAAGTGGAGATGAGGCATATAGTGAAGAAAAACTGAAAAGTACTAAGGACATACACAGGCAATTTGAAAACTCAACTACAAAGAAAAAAACTTCTGCTAGAGATGAATGGATGAACTTACCTACTAGTTTTTCCAGTTTTTCTAATTTTGACCGCAAAACAGAAAGAGGAACCGAGAAAAATTTGGAGAAGGAAAAACAACAATATAATCCGAGAGAGTGTGGACGCGAATTGAATTTTTACTGGAAGAATGGCGGAAATGGACTGCCATCATTCGTAAAACCTGAAGATTCAGATGGTGATCAGAAATCGTATACTACCCATATAAAGAATAAATCCAGAATATCAAATTGGAGAAAGAAAAAGATCGAGCCAGAACTTCCAATTGACCCTTCTGAAAATAAAACCAAACAGTGTACTGATGATAATTCAGCTGAACATAACATTGTTACTTCAGAAAAAGACCTCAATGTTTTAGCCTCAAAATTAGTCAAAGCTGAGATAATGGGCAATACAAAGTTAGTTGCAGAATTAAAGGAAAAGTTAGAGAGAGCTAGAAATGAGGTGAAAGACAGGAGCACAAATTCAAGAGAAGAACATGTAATTCTAACTCATACCGATTCTCAAGGTAGATCACAGCCCTTAACATTGCAGGCTGAATATGAAGAGCTTTCTTCTAAGAAAGGCAAGAAAAAAAGAGTAGAGACTCACGAAGGGGGACAAAGGGTAAGATATTTTTCTAACGATGATAAATATTCATTGAAACAAATGTTTGAGAGTGAAAAATATAATTCCGTAGAAGATCAGAATAAGGAATTTTTGAAAATGACGAGCAAAATAGGCAAAAATGATGACTTAGACGATATTTTTACAGACAATATTAGAAACGCCGAGTCAAGTTCAAAAGTAGACACTAGAAATCGTGACAAAGCTGTACATAATCATGCTACACTCAGTAAAAGTTTAGATAACTGTGACAAATGCATTCAGTCACAAGTGATGCTGAAGCATTTAATGATTTCTATGGGGGAGACTGCATATCTTGCCCTGCCTGCCCATGAACCATTAAGTACAGGTCATTGTATGATAGTCCCCATTAGACACGTACCTTGTTCAACTCAACTCGACGAGAACGAATGGTCTGATATTATAGATTTGAGAAGATCCATTACGCAATTATTCAAAGCAAACAATGAGGAAGTAATCTTTTTCGAAACTGCCATGAAATTTCATAAATATCCTCATATGGTTATTGAATGCATTCCTCTGCCCAAAGAAGATGGTGACATGGCTCCTATTTATTTCAAAAAGGCAATCGATGAATCAGAGTATGAATGGTCTCAAAACAAAAAATTGGTATCACTCAAAGGGAGAGACATCAGAAAGGCTGTGCCTAAGGGATTACCATACTTTTCAGTTTCATTTGGTATGGAGGAAGGTTTTGCACATGTTATTGAAGATGAACAATATTTTCCTTCAAATTTTGCTCAGGAAATTATAGGGGGAATGCTTGATTTGCATCACAGTAAATGGAGAAAGCCAAAAAAGCAGAACTTTGATGAACAAAGTGAAAGGGTTTTGAAGTTTTCCGAAGAATGGAAAAATTTTGATTGTACAGTGTGAAATATTTATTAAAACTCAACTAGAACAACATTTTGAATACTCATTTAGATAGCACAGTAATATAAAAAATACATTTTCAATTGAAAAACTTTATTACTTTAAACAATCATTTCCAGTTCTTTTGCATATTCAATAGCTTGTTGTGCCAATTCTTTGGATGGAATTGGCTCATGTGTCTTTTTAACCTCGGGCGTGAAGTGAAAGAAGTTGTCCTTTTCTAATTTCCATGTCTTACTCTAAAAAAAATAATAAAATAAAATGAATATAATTCTCGGCTATATAACTCTTGAAATAATATATGATAAATATTAATAGCGAAACATATGTTGTGGTTTTGTGAGCTGTTTATTATTGAAAATCTCACAATATGGTGTTACTTAAATAAGTTATTATGGATTTTCATCAATTACTGGCCAATTCCATCACGTTTTTATTTTTTATCAATTACGCCTATTTCTGAAATCAATTAGGCATGTTTTCCTAAACACAGTGAAAATCAATCGATCTGTATTTTTGATTGGACGTATGTGTTTCTAACAGAGGTTTTTCCCTATCAGATGAATTATTTCAATATGAATACACAAGGGAAAAAGTTTTTGTTGTAAACATAAACATCTATCAAGCAAGCCAATCCATAAAAACAGATTAACGTGCATTCATTTATAAATGCTGCTCCGGACCATTAAAAATGTTGTTTTATCTCTTGCGGAATTTTCCTTAAGAATAACCAATCAACATAAATTTTTAACTTTCTACAATTGACAGTTACAATGTCTGTCAGTTTTTGTCTTTATGGTTAGTTAACTCAATTTTTTATCCACTGCATTTTGAATCAACATTTGCTGTATTTTACCAATTCATTTATTATCATCATATGTAAAACTGAAACAATCTTGTTTCGGTTAAGCTTTACGGTTTGTGAAATATAAAATGAACATTTGTCCTTTTGCTACAAGGCTTGTTTTCAAAAAACACTTCATTATGAAATTTTCTCTAAACAGTTTTACAAAAAAGCAACACGTGAAGAAGCTAATGTATAGCAAAACACTGTTGTGTTTTAGTATAAATATTTAGTGAAAATCTCACAATAGTGTTTTTTGAACATTTTATAGATTTTCAAGTATCAGCCGATTACCTCACATACAATGCTTGTGATACGGTATATTTTGTATCAATCAATGCATAATTCTAGTGATGAAATTTCGGAAAATAACTAGGAAAAATTATTGAACAGAAAAGAAATGTTGTAATGAATACTATTTAAATTTTTTGTCTGGTTTGTCAAGACTCTATTAACTCAGGCTTTTATGGCCTATTGCTTATACTGAGACTAATACATAAATAATTAACCATACCTTTGTTACAAAGGCCTTGGCCGATTCTTCACTGCCCAAGTATAGCATCCTAGCAACATCTTTAATTGATATTTTTTCATATGCTTTCTCTAGACAATCTGCAATCTCCCCTCTGATAGTATCTAGAAGTATATCCATAAAAAAATTGTAATTTGTTGCTGGGACATTTCCCTTTGCCAGAAATATCTGTAAGAAGAAAGAATGAATCTCTTTTTTTTTAGGTAGTGAGAATATTCACCTTATTATAACTTCCTTCCATAAGGTACTGTTCAATAGATAGAGGGTGCCTGATGTATACATCATTCTGAATGTGGTCAGCAGGCAACAATTCTAATTCTGTGTGGAACTCTGCCACTCTATTTTGTGATAATAAAAATAGTAAATTCAGACCCAGTAACTGATATTTGAAAGAAGATTCGGGAAGTTGATTCTTATAATCGAAATAATAACATTTCAACTGTGCCATGTATCTTTCAAAGGCAGGTATATCATTTGCAGCTATACTCCATTGTACCCCAATTTCCAGAACATCTCTTGCCAGAAGAAGTTCTTGTTTTGAAGCAGTGGCGTTTGAAGTTGGAAGGAACATTAAGTGTGTTAGCTCAAGCTGAAAAAATAATAACAATACTTCTAGAAAGTTTAATGGCTTTTATATTTACCTTCAAATCTGACAAAAGCTTTTCACATTTGCTTAAATTTGGATTGGATGTGTTCCATTCTGATTTCAGTTGTTTGTACAAATTAGACACCTCATTAATCTTGGACATGTTTCTTGCAAGGTCTTTATTTTATGGCTTTCTTCAAATTTTCAGTTCAGTTTTTACACTACAGCTACAGCATGAATTGTATATTTTTACTTCCAATCAACTTTTCATCTGTCAGTCATAAGTCATATGTCAATTGAAAAGTAAATGGGTGCGTTCAGTACCCTTATAAGTTGTAAAAGGCGACATCTGTTGTGAACAAATAGCCGATTATTTGTTGTGTGATTTCGATACCGAAATGACCATTTCCGTAAAATTATTGCTCTTCGATTTCACTACCCGTTGCGTCGTTGAGTTGAGACTTTTCGTTCCGTTCTAACCGACAAAAATTTTCGTAGTCATGGGGAACGCCAAAACAAAAGTTTTTTGTAGAGATGCTCCTCAAAATTGTTGATAACTATTGTCAGTCCTTTTCTTGTTAATTTCTAGTGTATCTGTTCCAGTTATTCTACTGATGTCATCAAAAAACATCCCCATTTAATGTAACTCCGCCTATGCAGAGTATAATTTATGTCAACATTTGTCTAATTTAGGAAGCAATGATTAACTCATTATGTTCCCAATATTTTGAAGATCAATGATATGATTTTCTAGTTGAAAGAAATAGGGGATAACTGGCGTTTCCTTGTACCCCTTGACTAAATTATTATTTTTCAACAAATCTAGCACTACAAATTTATGATTCGATATTAAATATTATCAAGTATTCTGGTACATATTGCTATTCAATGGATACCAAGAAATCATCAGCATACATCGACTTATGTCTCATCTGTGCACTTTGAACTGATCCAGAATATGTTCCGCTTTCAGTTTTTAGTCATTTTTTAATTTTCTAGTTAAGTACTTGAAGAAATTTGTACGAATATTGTCAAAAAAAAAGAATCTAAAATGAAACTACTTAATTTTTAAAAGATCATTAGATCGCCGAGAAACGTATGTTATAGCTCATAAAAATGTATTCAATCAAAAATATATTCATTTGACTTTTGATAATCTTGAATTCACACTATCAATCTTTTGTAGCAGCTTCTCTTTCTTTAGTTCTTATTCAAAAATTGATTCACATACATTGAATATTCAATTTTGAGTTATCACAGGTAAATGTTCATACTGGTTTTATAATGGAGATGAGGAATCATAATATCTATAGAAGCATTCCTATTTTACTTCCCAAGTAAAAAAAAAATTGTTTGTGTTGCATGACTTAATGCGCCTGAATGGAAGCAAAAGTCAATAACATAGACAGAGAAATAGTTTGCGTTCTGTGAATAAAATAAATAAATATGTTGGCATCTATGATCGCTTCTACTGACATCTTATGGCGAGTAGTTTAAACTTCAATTCATTTGTGATTCGTCTCTTTGGATTTTGAATTGTTTTCATATTTTCATTAATTTTGAACTGGTTGAAATACAAACGTGTGCGTTCCAAATATCACTTCAAATTTGGTTTTATTTGTTATTATTGAAAAATCCTAATGACACATTTTACGTTATCAGAAGGCGGTGTTCCCCTTCCCCTAACTAACAACCAATGAGCAAGCTTTACACCACGACATAAAACTGGTTTGTTTGCGTTTCATTTCGTCATTCTGCAAGAACTGTCGTTAGTATATAGTTGTAATTTGTGACACAAATCAGTGTTCCTTTTAAAGTGATTTGTTTGCAGTGCCTGTCATAATAATTATACAACGATGGCTTTTATGATGCCAGTAGTGAAAAACGATTGGGATATATACAAATCCAATCGATCAAGAAGACTGTCGGAATGTTCGAATCCGACGTCGTGCCGTTCCAGAAAAGTGTCCGAGTGCCGTTCTGAGGGGCCAAGTCTCTCCACATCCCCGGGTTCCGATTTCATAACGTCTCCGAACCGTTCAGTGCCGACCAACATGTCATCGAGGCAGTATTCTCGAGCGAGTTCTAGAACGAGTGAAAGCAGTCTGCAAAGTCCCGTCAAAAGTACTGGCAGTTCACCGCCGAAAAATGGGTCGGAACCGAGTCTGAACAAATTTCACAACAGGTTACTGGATAAGCTGAAGAAATCTCTAAAGAGCAAGGATTCCGACAACGAAAGAACCAGTTCATGAGATAAGGAAGTTTCTCCCAAGGAGAAGGTAACGGACTCCACCTTCTAGCGAATATGGAAAGACTTAGGTCAATGACTGCGATTGTTTTTTTACGGCCGCAGCTAACCGGGCATTACGGCTATGTATGTTCAGGTATAGCAATTGATATGTTGTCCTGTGATATGTAGTTGACTATTGTAAAAAATATACTTTTACTATTTTGTTCTTGGAGGCTAGCTCGGTCGATTCATAGTGAGATTTTTGAAAATAGTTGGATAGGAAATTTATTGATCTAAGCATTGAAAGAAGGATACGTCGGAATGGGTCTACACCAAAATTTGTTAGATTATTCTGTAGTACTGTTTTGTTAGCAATTCAAGAAACTTACGCTCTTCGTAAATATATTTACTATTATGTATATGTTAACAGAAAGACTGCAAGAGGAAGAACTATTTAATAAATTGAAGGAGTTCACTATATTATACATTTGAATTAATTAATAAGTAAAAATATTGCTTGTTACAATTACCTAGCAGAGTTTATAAGAATGCCTATATTATAAATAGAGGGATATATTTTTAGTGAAGACCAACTTTATACTTGGTGCCAGTGCGTACCTGTCACTAAAAACCACTGCCCTCAGTATGTTATTAACATTCCAAATAAATTTCTAAATGAATATGTATGTATAATCATATCTAACGAAATTTGGTACAATAAAAATTGTTATATAACGAATAATGATTTGGATATTAATTTCATCACAGTATGCAGTATTGTAATGAAAAAAATGAGGATTTGATGTGACTTTAATATAATTGTTTTTATTGAAACAAAAATAAAGTGAAATTGTTTTAGAATGCTTTGAGTTTTTTTTAATTGCATTTTCGTTTCTCTGTAGGTCACTGTAACCTATTCAAAATAAAATAACGTATTTTCCCAAAGTAATAATAGGTAACTGACTATAGAAGATGCCTTCAACTTTCAAAGTCATTTTCGTGCCATGTTTCAAATGAATACTTACCAAAACAAATATTAGAAAAAAGTCTTTACTTGTGTTTTCAATTTTAGTGTTTAGTGGAACACTTCATATTCTTTATTTTTCATGAATATAACTACAAATAAAACATGGAAAAATCTCTTGGGAAAATTTATAAAACGGCCTCCACATATGAAGTTTGTGAAAAATATTGTTTAAAGGTTGTCAATTTAGGAATTGTAGGGAAACTTTCAAAATTGAACGTTTTTTTATCAATTTTTTCATGGAAACCCCTGTAAAAATTACCCTACATTTTCAAAAATTCAAATGATCTATGAGAGAGAGATTATTTATAGAGCAGAAAGTTGATGGGATTCCAGAAAAGCAATTAATAAATGTGGAGCTTCATAAATAAAACGCTTGAGGAAGTTATTGTATAGCGTAACACGTGTTGCTTACTTGAATAAGTTATGGATTTTCCTCAGTCGGTCAATTTCATCACATATAATGAAAAATATCAATAGCGACGCTGAACCCAATAACAATCTTGTTGCAACATTTTTCGGGGAAAAAAGTCGATTAAAGCTCCAGGAGAAGTTATGAGATGAGATGACATGCTGCATATAATTCTAAAGGTCAATATCACTATGTTCTTCAAAGAAAAATAACGGAAAGAAGTCCCGGCATTTTTAGAATTGTGAAAGAGTCAGCCAGGAGGATTTGTTATTATTTCAAAAAACATGCACATTACAAAACTAATCAATCTGATAAGCATTATGAACCAAATGTAAGGCAGATTTTGAAAATCGTCTTAAGGTCCGATACCTATTAAGACAATGTGATAAACAGCGTCGACCGCCTCTTTTGAAGTTCTCTGTCACTATTTTAATGGCTCCTTAGCGGCGCCCTCAAGGTTATTAACTGCAGTGCCACTTGCTTCAGACAACTATGTTGCTTTCTTTGATATACCGATATGTTTTGCATTCTTGAAATTTCACTCTCAGACAATACGGAATGTTTAATGCTAACCGCTGTTTCGACACACTGTGTCAATTTCTGAGCAGGTTATAGGTAATTAGATTTACTCGATACATTCAAAATAAATTTTGTAAGCAATTCAGGGTGTCCGTGACATCGTGGCACAGGTATTCTGTTCTCGGGAGCCCTGGGTAAGGGCCCGTGTGCCCTTATGGTAAATACAGAACTGTTCATAATCCATATAACTTTGCGAACAATGTTTTTATAAACCATTGTACCTATTAATTCTAACCTGTCTTCTATTACACTGAAAAAAGTTTCATCATAAGATTAACGTAACTCGAAACCATTAGGTACTTACCTGCTATGACCTTCGAACAAATATATTTTATAACATCAGTATAAATTCTGCAAACAAACCGGACCAGAGACATTAGAGTTATTGAATGGAAAAGTACTGAAGAGAACGATGAGTAATATACACTGTCGAGTGTGATGGGATAGTAAAATAGCTTTTAGTTATGATCTATAAATAAAATGCTTTCAAATCATAAAGTTGCAGTTGAACGTAGGTGGATGATTTCATGATACTTCCTTATTCAGAAAAAGGTCTCAATGAATCAATCAATCAAGATACATATTTTATTGGTGAATTTCATTAGTTCGGACTTTTTTTTTCAATTATATATTTTTGTTGGAAGAGGATTCAATGGAAAAAAGAATGTACTTGAATGAAAATCTGGGAATAATCCATAATAATATACTTTTTTTTCGTTAGTTATTTTTCATTGAAGTTTTTTTTGAATGTATGAAAGAGTTTTTATTGATCTTTTTGGGAATTTTATTTGCCTTCCACCACCTGCAAAAAATAAAAGTTGTACTTAATGCAGAACTATATACATGTGTAGAAAGAGCAACATTTTTTTCTTAACCATGATTAGTTACTGTGTGAATTCAAAGTATGTTTCACAAAGAAAAATGTACCACCTACCAGTAACTTGTCGTAATAATTTTGCCCAGTAAAAAATCAGCTAAAAATTTGTACAGATACTCATCCAAAAATCAGTCTCCGTCTTCATAATGGAAAAAAAATCAAATATAACTTTCCTTTGATTCGTTTTATCTCGACAGACGGGTCATCACCCGAAGACGATTGTGGATACTAACAATCGAAACATCGTGAAGTAACTTGGCTTGAAATCTTTCAACTTTTATTTCTTTTTCATTGTTCAATTTTCAATTGTTGCTTGTATTTCATTTTATTGTAATTTCATTTCAGTCCGAACTAATGAAATTCAATATGGAAAATACTATCAGTCAGCGTAGAAATTTAACACATGGGGTTTCACAGGGATCAGTATTGGAACTTTTATTATTTTTGAGTTATATTGATTATATTTCATTGTTTAAGTTGAAAGGTTCAAATAAACTATTTGCAGACGAAGACGATATAGTACTATTATTTATTATGGATTTGACTTTGATTCTACAAAAGATGAAGTTGTTCATGATTCGAATGGAATTTCTTTCCGGGTACAAATTGATAAATTAATGTTGAATTTTTCAAAAACATCTTGTATATTTATAACTCAAAAAAAAGGATGTGATCGATTTTCCCCAATCAAATTTGAAAGTAAAGAGATTACATAAAAAAAAAATTCTGGGAATCTATATTGATGAAAATCTTAGTTGAAATAAACGTATTGAAGAACTTCACCGATTATCGGTATTCTTTATATAATCCAAATCATATTGATCGCAAATAGTTGACGAACATATATTATATATACTTTTATATATTCTTGATTGAATATTTGATTTCTATACCTATTGGGGACCTTCAAATATGTATGTACCGCAATTCTTAAACCACTGAAGCAACTGAAAAATGTATATAAACCGAGAAGGTTTTTGCATTTGGATTCAATTGGTAATTCGTTCATTCACCTCACCAGTGCGTAAATGAAAAATACAGCAGTTTAAAATTCACTGAAAATCATTTCATTTATAATCATCACACAAGAATATTTCAAGAATTACATCCAAGGAGACCAAAAACGGAAATTGGGAAACTTTGCATCTTTCATAATGGTAGAATAATTTATAATAATACGCCGGCCAAGTTTAAAAACATAACATTTTTTGTTGTCAAATTTGAAATACTCTTGAAAAAAAATTAGAAAAATAGTATTTTCACATTTGACAATTTATATATAATGTGTCTTTACACGCCCTATGAAGCAATTGCATGGCGAAACACGTGTTGCGTTTTTGTAAAATTGTTTAGTGAAAATCTCACAATAAAGTGTTTTTTGAATACGTTAGTTATGGATTTTCATCAAGTAACGGCCAATTCCATCATATATGTTTATATGATATTATTTATACACATTTTGAGTTTGAATTTCCTTATTATGAATAGCCAATGTTTCTTGGGAAGGTTGAAATAAAGTTGAAAATTTCATTAAAATAAATAATAAAAAACTAATAATACTTACTCCACTATTGCCATCGATATCATTTCAGCACTCACTACACTGAAAACTTCGAAATTCAATGAAAAACCCTTTTTTCCTATCTAAAATCAATGTGGAATCATAATGAGCCGCATATCGTTGTATTAGTTATGAAAAATTGCTATTTATTGCTAGGAGTATTTATTGTGTCTACGAGTTGTTGATGTTTTCCCTGACACGAAACGTTGCAATGAAAAACTCTCAACATTATTTCATAGAGGAGAAACATTAGCAAAGAGAAAATTATTTTCATTTTGTGCTATTTTACCAGTCAGAAAAAATGTAAACGAAATGGACAAATTTCGGTATTTTGCTATGACAAGCCGAGTTTCTCGGTTTGGTAATAATCATAAAATAATAAATTCTCTAATTTAATTATCTTCATATCTTTTACGGTTTTCGACCCACATTGTAGACATGGTTATCTTGGACATACTATATACTAGAAAATAATAAATTAACCATAGTTATTCCTTCTGTAAAATAGCTGGTCCTGAACCTTTGTTTCACTTTAGAAGCTTGTGCATTTCAATTTAAGGTTTTTTAAAGTCTATTCTAGTGTTAATAAAAACAATATCAAGGCAATAGATTCAATTTAATTTCAATAAACAACTTGATTGAAGTTTCAAAATTAACTTGTCTTGTTATTCTCACATTTTTTCGAAACTTTAGGCATCATGTTAAATGTTAATACCACCTTCTTACAAGCCCACGCAAAATTTTTAGGCGGTCATTTGCCTCTTGAAAAAGTATAATTTCTTTGGTCCTGGATAAAAAAGATTTTGAATCTTATGGCGGTGCACGTGAAAAAATTGGAAAAGTGAAAATAAAAACAAATTCTGATGTACGAGGTCAGTTCAGAAAATACGGCAAATTTTCATTTTTCTCAAAAAATATTTATTCGTTCATCAATTTCTATTTTGTCCCCTCCAAACTAGTCCCCCTCAGATATAATACAGTTGTGCCACCATTTTTTCAATTTATCGAACTTTGCGTGCTTTTTGGTCTTGGCTCCCCTGAGCTCTTTCATTGGGACGATTGGACTTTGGTTTCGATTTCATAACCGTATACCCATGATTCGTCACCAGTTATGACCCTTTTAAGCAAATCTGGATCACTGTTGGCGTTATTCAACAATTTCTGATCGATGCTCATGCGACGGTTTTTTTTGGTAAAAATTCAGCAATTTTGGAACGAACTTCGCTGCCACACGCTTCATGTCCAAAATTTCCGAAAATATTGCATGGCACGAGCCAGCCGATATGCCGACATCCTCAGCAACTTCTCTAATAGTGTTTGGACGATTGTCCATAACAATTTTTTTCACTTTCACACCCTGG